CACATGAATGTAAGCGATGAATGATTGACAAGGTCAAAAATAAGCTAAACATGTCATGTGAGCTAGACATTGAATGACTCACTACACATTGTTAAACAATGCTGAAATTATGCTTTTGTCTATTACTTCTCATTCATTCATTATTCATTGGATTATTTATTCGCACATTTTTTTATTAAGCATGGTAGTCAGCGTAGCTTGGGAAATTAAGTCCAAATCCTGATAAATTATTTTTTCAGTCTAATAAATATCAAAATTCACTGAATTTTTAGACTATAGATTATGGGATTCCAACAATAAGATACAATTTTCACCCCCTGAATTGAAAATGTCTTAACTAAGATTGCTTGAACAGGTCTTTATTGAAATCAATCAAATTAAAGTAAAACAATTATCCTGCACTTTATAGTTTGTGATGATTTCTTCAATTGTGTGTGTAAATCCTCGGAGAACTAGTTTAATATTTGAAAAATGTTTCTCTTGTGAGATTTAAATGGTACTGACTGATATTTATTTAGTATCTACACTGTTGTATGCTAGCCCAGTGGTCCAGAGGTTAAGCGTTTGATTTCCGCAAGTAGCACAAGAGTCATGGATGCACATTACTAATGAGTTCCATAACACGACAAAGCAACCATCTATTCCTTCCAAGTTTCTAGTGGTGTTCTAACAGTGATTGATTGATAATTTCAGCAATAACATTATCTCATTTCTTAATATGTGTTTATTTTTCCATTCATTATTTAGAACTCCTGCAATGGCAGGTGGTTTATTTGCTATAGATCGTGAGTATTTTGATTATCTTGGTCGATACGATCCTGATTTGGAAATCTGGGGCGGTGAGAATTTAGAATTATCATTTAGAGTAAGCAGATATTTATGTGTTATGTAATAATGTTTAGCTTGGATAGAATCTGCTTACTGATTGTGGATCAATTTCATTTGATTTCATTGTCCAGTTACGCACTATTTATTGTATTTTGTTTTAAGCTATGCCAGTGTCACTGACAAGTGGACTGAGTCAAGTTGGTAGATGTAGGCTATCTGGTTGGGGTCCACGAGACGAAAGTCACTAATGGTTAGAGACCTTGAATGACATGGCTCAGAATCGTTTGCAATGGCGCAGGTGTATGCACTCTTTGTGTGCTTTTTAATTCTAATCTTCTGAATTCCTTATAATCTCTATCTCACTGAATTATATCATATCTTCGCTCCCTAATCTTTCCCATTACTGCTAATACTTCTACTATGGCTATCGCTCTTAGATTTGAACTAACATTTACGTCTCTCTGCTGACGTGGTATGGCAACCTGAACTGATGTACTTATGTACGATGTTCTGCGTTGTATCTGTCTTTCTGTCTAAATGTTAGTGAATCAGCTACAACGTAGAACGTGGTACATAGGATGTACATCATTTCAAGTAGCCATACCACATTAGCACACAGATGCAATTGTCAGTTCAAATCTCATAGAAGTAGAGGTAGTATAAGTATGAGCAATATTCGGAAAGATTAGTATTCGAAGAAATTATTCAAGGAGTATAATCCAGTGAAATAGATTTAAGAAGAGAAAGATAAGGATGATGAGGAATTCTAAATGTAAAAGCTAATAATACTTGTCAGTCGCTTGTGTAGGTAAGGTGAACATGAGCATAAACCTGTTAGTTAATAGTTGAAAGTTAAACTCATTAACTATTGAATCATCACTTCAAAAAAAATTATAAATCAATTATCAAAATTTAAAAAAAAACGTGATAACTTATGGATATTATTGATTTTTTCTTTTTGCATTGACTTAATCATCAATCAAATCAATGAAATGACTTATATCAATAGCTTTCGCTAATTTTTCTTTTTAATTCTTCGATCAGTACATAGTTCAATATGAAACGTGATTGCATGACAAACATGTAAACAGAATGAATTTCACACTCAATTACACAATCATATCAATTTATAGCAGTCAATGTTAGAACGTATTCCTTCTCTATTATTAACAGTAATGTATCACATGATTTGTGAACTGTGAACTACATGAACTTGATTGTATGCATAAATGATGATTAGATTTTATTAGAAATCTAGTTTTTGATTGTCATTTGACTTTTGACCTCGTTTAATGTTTAATGTGTCAAGTCATATCAATCGTAGTTCAGTGAAACCATAAACATTAATTATTACAGGCATATGAATATTATTGTTCTTATTTGAAATAGTGTTTGTTTTCTACATTCTGTTGTTAATACACAATGGAAAAGTATTTGCATTCCTTTGTGTAAATCAGAATATAAGGAATATTGATAAAATAACTTATCTGGTAGTGGGAAACAATTGAAGCTAGGAACTTAGTGTACTCAATTTCCATTAAGAATTTTATTCCCCATTAAGATCACATAGTTGAAATATTGAAATCATGATTCGATCAATGTTAGACCGGTATTAGAAACCTGAAAGCACTGGACGGCCGCTTCTTCCTGGTATGAAACTTATCAGCAGTGCGCATCCATGACTCCTACTACCCGCAGGTTGTTAACCCAGGACCTACGTCTTGCACACGAACATTTAACCTCTGGATCACTGAACCAGCGGGCATCTAACGGTGTTATTGTCTATCTTCGATCACTTGAAAGATTAAAAATGTGGTATGGCAACCTGGACTGATGTACGTAAGTAATAAGTACTACTGTGGTGCGTGCTACTTATACAAACGATATAAGTAGTATAAGAAGGGACGTGAAAGAAGAACTCTCATGGTCACTAGAGGAAAACGGAAAGCAAATGGAGCAAAAGCAAGAGGTAAATGGAGTACCAACAGGAAAGGAAGGAAGCAACAGCAGGAATGGAAGAAGGATGGAGTGTTGGAAGTCACGACTCAGAGATGGTGTGCAAATAGAGCGTTCAATGTAATGTGTTCGTTTTTAATTGTGATATATCTCTAGAAATTGGTAACTGATTATAATATGAAACACTTTATTTATTCTACTTCGTTACTTTTAACGAATTTTGGTAATAGACAGATTATATTGCAGATATATTTTTCTTCATAGGAAATAACAGGACTATAGTTGTGATAAAAAAACATATTGCTTTATGACAGTCACTGCCGACTTATAATTTATGATAAGCTATAGTTGTTTTAACACCGTCTGGATCCTTCTATGAGTACTGTCGGTCCCAAGCTCGGGTCAGGTATGAGGTTAACAATCATATCATGTAAATAAAATGCCTTACTTTGAAAAACTCTAACTGGTGAAAAATGCAGTTACTGTAATTCGAAATACTAGTTCATTAAACATGTACCTAGATGGCTGCAAAACCAGTTCATATTCAATGGATCTACCAAATAGAGTAATAGAAAATCATATTGATCGATAGAAAAAGTAAACAATTGAAATGAGGCATAAAAGTGACAGTAGTGCAGCTTTTAAAATGGTGTATTGAAATCGTCAAGGAGAATTTCCTAGGTTTATAACAGCCTTGGATATTCGCAAATTCAAAGCCTCTCTTTATGTGTACAAGTAGAATTTGTCGTAGTAACCTTGACTTTGCCCTGGTAATCTTTAAGACATTTTATGGCCTGAGGTAGTGTGACAACTTATTCATTCCATATTATGTTAATTTTCTCTCCCCTTTATTTATCACCTTATGTTTATTCGAACATTAATTGAGCTGACCTTCATAAAATATATATATGTATAAATTTATAGGATTGATTCATGATTGCACTAATAAACGACGATCTTGGTAACTCGATGAATATAAAACCGTACACTTTGCTCACTAGCGACTGGCTTTGTGAGAAAATACTCGGAGTTCTAGTGAGAAGGCGCGACCAATAGATTTCTGCCCTGTCGAGTGTAGGCAGCAACTACCAAAGACAATTGCGTGAGGTTGCGCGAAATCCTTAGATTGTTCAGAGTTCACACTGTCGAGTGCCTGCCGGTTCTGTGATCCAGAGGTTCTGGGTTCACGCGCAGGACAGAAGGTCCTGGGTTTGAATCCTGTGAGTAGCAGCAGTCGTGAGTGTGCAGTGCTGAAGAGTTCCATACCAGGACGAAAAGGCCGTCCAATACTTCCAGCTCTTTATTGGTGATCTAACAATAATTGATTTATGATTTCAGTGATAAATATCAATCTTTATAACTCTATAATGAAAAAATTATATGTAAAGTATATAGGTAATCAGTTTGTTCGAAATGTATAGAGTAAATACATCACATTTTTCAGGTCAGCTCCGTCTTCTCAATATGCCATCGAAAATTACATTACATAAACTAGTCTGTTTGCCTGTATGAAAACAACAATTGATCCTATCGTTTAGTGAACTTAGAAATAAAATTGGTGTAAAAATGAGTTTGATAGAATTTTATTCTCTGATCTGGATCTTTAGGTTGTGGAGCTTACACAGTTCTACTAAACAACTGAGTAAAAGAAGAAGAGTTGAAACCGTATTGTAAAAGCATCTAGAAAGTACGATGTCCGGATCCGGGTCATAAAACGTTACAGATAACTGCGTATGTACACAGTTAGGTCGAATAGGAAACAACACTGAAGTCTGTTGATATTGATAGTCAGAATGACTAATTGGGAAACAACATTAAAGCATGTGACATTGATAGCTAGGACGACCATAATATTGACCAATAGGAATTGACAAATAGGAATGGACCAATACAAATTATTCTCCTAGGATATTGGATGGGAATATTCTAACACCAACATTACCAGCACAAACTTCATGGCTGAACTCTCCTATCAAGACGAAACTACATTATAATCAATTCACCTGAGTTCTGAAAAAAAAATTTCCTACAGCATCACAAAATAATATATGAACGGTTAAATGTTAAAATACTGAAAACATTTAACTTGGAAAAAAAATTCTGATTCTCAACAAAACTCAAATTCAGTATTTTTTAAAAAAAAATTCATTTTCGTTTTCATTCCTTTTTTCTTTCTGGTTGAAGATTTGGATGTGTGGTGGTAGTTTAGAAACAGTGACATGTAGTCATGTTGGTCATGTTTTTCGTCAAAATGCACCATATAGTTCAACTATTAAATATGAGGAACCGCTGAAACGTAATTTACTTCGTTTAGCTGAAGTATGGCTTGATGATTATAAACAACATTTTTATGAACGTATTGGATTTAAACTAGTAAGTTACTCATTGTTTCTTTCAATTATCTATTGTTGTTTTGTCAGTGTATGTATGTGTCTATAACAGCTAATATCTAGTAGTAATATTGTGGTGTGTGCTACTTATACGAACGATATAAGTAGTAGTATAAGAAGGGACGTGAAAGAAGAACTCTCATGGTCACTAGAGGAAAACGGAAAGTAAATGAAGCAAAAGCAAGAAGGAAATGGAGTACCGACAGGAAGTAAAGGAAGCAACAGCAGGAATGAAAGAAGGCTGGAGCGTTGGAAGTCAGTACTCAAAGATGGTGTGCAAGTAGAGTGTTCAATGTAATGTTTTCGTTTTTAATTGACTATTGAGCCTGCCTCAATCTTCTCAATATAAATTCATTTGTTGAAATGAGTCTGCTAATTCGTATTACAAGTTAAATCCATTTAATAACAAAAGTGTTTTTTGTTTTAGCTAAGAATGTTAAATGATCATGTTGTAATATTTAAAGGCAGTTAGTAAGTCAGTCAGTTAGCCATAAAATGTAGAATTTCTTACTTACGTACATCAGTACAAGTTGGCAGACTACATAGTAGTAGTAGTGTAGTGAAAGAGAACACAGGTGGGGCAACCGAATTGTATTTAACGAAAATTACAGAGTTACTCAGTAAAATCGGAAAACCATATCGTATATCGTTAATTTGCAAAATATCAGTTCATCATATCGAACTGGACTGTTCCTGTTGCAAAACATCAATCCATTGTCACTATTCATGCGTTTCATACAAATTCCATTGTGTTCTTCTAACTCTTCCTTTCTTGATCTTCCCCCATCTTCTGCTGCCAGACATTAGGTTGACACTCACGTCATGTACTACTTATAAGTAGCTCGCACCACAGTAGTAGTAGAGATAGTTGGAGTATTAGTGATAGTGAAAAAGATTAGGGTTGAAAGAAAGTAATCAAGAAGTATAATCCAATGAAATTAATTTTTTAAAAAAAGATAAGATAAGGTCTTGAACTCATGAAGTCATGAGAGAACATAAAGAATGGTTGCAGCTGCGCCAATGCAAACGATGTTGACTTTTATCTGAAGTTTGTACTGATGATGGTGTTCAGAAGAACAATGAAAGCCCCACAACTAAAACATCAAGCTCAGAGGACGAAACTACTCTACGATTTTGAGCCATGTAATTTAGAGACCTGTAAGCATGAGTTACTATTGTCTCGCCAACATCGACCAGGTAGTTTACACCTACTAACATGGCTAAGTCCAATGGTCAATGACTTCGCGGATTAGAGCCATATTTTTGTATGAAGGCAATGCTGCAAATACATCAAGCTGATGTTTCTTTTTTCTTTTTTGAAATAAGGCAAAACACAGCACTAATATTTCTCTTCTGTGTATGCTAATGTGGTATGGTAGGTTGAACTGGTGTACACCCTATGTACCAAGTTCTACGTTGTAGATTGACTTACTGATTGACAGACTGATTTAAGGTCACAGATTTAATATCACTGGGATTCATACATATTTTTTATGGTTGGTTTATTCTAGTAATCATGAGTGAGTATAAGTTACAAACTTTTCACTTGTGCATTCGTATAAATAAACTTTTGCGATATTTTATAATTTAAGTATGTAAAACTTTGCAAGATGAACTGTCGGTTTCATATTCTGATTTCATCGCAGAAAAAATTTAACTGGTCATTGATAAATGTTTAAAAAGCTTTAGGCTTTATTCTTTAAATACCAAAAACACCAAAGACAAATGGGTTAGGTCTAGCTATATCCCTAAATCAATCAGAGTTAGACGTTAACACCATTAGATACCGGCCCAGTGGTCTAGAGATTAGGTGTTGGCGTGCAAAACAGAAGGTCCCGGGTTCGGAGTCTTGCGAGGTGCAGGAGTCGTGGATGCACACTGCTGATGAGTTCCATACCAGGACGAAATAGCCGTCTTGTGTTTCCAGTTTTCTAATGTTTGTCTAACAATGATGATGATGGATGATTTCAAATGTGCATTTAATATGTGATATGCGTCTCCTTGTTAAAACAAACAGACCCAAAAAATAATTGTTTATCAATTATTATCTTTAATATTTATCATTGGAAGACTAACTAATATTGAAATCAATGGGTTGTATAATCGTCTTACGTTTCTGTAAAAGACTTGTAACACAGTTCCACAGGAAATACTGTTTATTAATACCTTTGATTCACAAACTGATAAAGTAAACGTTTCAGGTTGGTGGTAATTTTCCGTAGGTTGCATATATATGATAGATACACTTTAAAAAATTGCCTCAGACTATAGGAACTCAAGTCTAATAACCTCACTAAGATGTAGATAGTAATATTTCTTCTATCAGTGTGTGTAATCTCTAATTGTTTGAATTATCTCAAGTCATAAATTACCATTCATACCTATTACGTAATATGAGTGGCTATCTGGACTCAACAGCTAAACGTGCTTTAGGTGAAATGTTTTATTGAGCTTAAATACGGGAGTGAATATTATTATTTTTATTACCAATAAGATACAGGACGAAACGCCTATCTTAAGTTCCATTGCTAGCCAAAGTCACTCTATTTTAAACATGCTTTATTATTTGATAACCAATAGTATTCCTTTAAATTTCTTACATAATAATAATAATAGTAATATTAGTAATGAACTGCTTAATTTATTTATCTTTAACTTAAAGCATTATGCTACGGTGTACAATATGTTCAGAGAGTGTAAATGTTATCTAAACAGTAAATCTTCTATCTATGATTGTTCAGTCACTTTTTTTTCTTCTCTTGCATCGTCCACTTTATTATAGGTTGATTTTGGAAATGTTTCAGACCGGAAAGCATTACGAGAAAAATTAAAATGTCGTTCATTTGATTGGTATTTAACTAATATTTATCCTGAACTACTTGTTCCTTCGAATGTTCAAGCTTCTGGTGATGTAAGTTTTATTGTGATATATTATTATTATTTTTCCATACTGTGAGATGGGTTGAGTAGGGTTGCATCGGCAGCTGCACTTGTGACAGAGAGGTAAGTAGTCAAGAGTGTAGATTGCCTAATTTATCTCGAGAGTCTTATCTATGATGATGGCCTGGTGACTGACTAAATCTCCGCACGGATACAAATGGCTCGATCTGATTTTGCCAACCTGCGACACTTATGGCGTAGGCGGAATATCCGTTTTCTCACTAAAGGACGAGTGTTTTGTGCAGCAGTTCTTTCAGTTCTAATATTTGGATGCGAAACATGGCCGGTGAAAGTAGAAGACAATCGTAGGTTACTAGTATTCAATCATAAATGTCTTAGATGCATTGCTCCTGTATCGTGGGACACCCGAGTAAGCAATGCTGTCGTTAGGAAACGAGTACTAGGTAAGGATGGCAGATCAATAGATGAAGTATTGAAACTTCATCAGTTGAGGTGGTTGGGATATGTCTTACGAATGCCCAACCATCGAATGCCTCGACAAGCGATGTTTTTTGATGTAGGAGTAGGTTTGAAGATAACTAGGGGCAGCAAAACCACAACATGGCAGAAATCCATGAAGTGACTGACAAGTTGACTGAGTCAACTTGGTAGGTGCAGACTTACCTGTTTGGGGTCCACGAGACGAAAGTCATCGACATGGCTCAAAATCGTTTACGATGGCGCAGGTGCATCCACTCTTTGTGTTCTCTCAAATCCTCATCTTATTAATTCCTCGCCATCTTATCTTTCTCTCTCACTGAACTATACTTCTTGAATAATACTTTTGATCCCTAATATTCTCTTCTACGGCTTATTAATCTGCTATCTTCACTATCATGGCATTTGAACAGACAGTTGCGTCTCTGTGCAAATGCGGTTTGGCAACCTGAACTGACGTACGTATTTAGGGAGTTCTACGTTGTAAATGACTGACTGACTGATTATTTTTCCATATTTCTTAGTATTCAAAATCTAAACATTTTCACTAGATCCTGATTGTTGTATTGTGTAAATGTCTTCCTTTTTTCGAAGTACTTTTTTCACCATTAAAGGCAATCATTTACCTATTCGAAAAGGTCTTCTTTAATACGTACGAAGCGCTTTATAGAATAAATAAGTAAGTAAAGAACTCCAAAATATTTAGACTGCGACCTCAACACACAGTATGATTTGAGTTATGAGGAAGAACAATAGCTCTATTTTCAACTTTCAAAACTTTGTATTACTCTAAATAGCAACTGATTTACGCCTCCGTAGTCATGTACTCATCATAATTATTAGTTTCACTAACTTACGTCTATAAATCCTAATGGAGCATAGGCCAACGACCAGTATTCTCTAGCCTATTTTTTCCTGTGCCTTCTTTAACAGTTCTTCTAATCTGTTGTTCAGTTTTTTCTGTCTGCTCCCAATCCTCAGTGTAGTGTGATATTCGATCTTTTCCTTTCTCGTTAAGGATTCCAAGTGAGGGATTGTCTCGTGACGCAATTAGCTACTTCCCTCATTGTGTATCCTATCCACTTCCGGTGCTTTCTCCTAATCTCTTACTCAGTTTGAATTTGGTTCGCTCTCTCCCAGAGTAGGTTATTGCAGATGGTGTCTGGCCAACTAATGAGCGGTATTTTGTGTAGACAACTGTTATTAATTGTTCATATATTTTTGATGATAGCTTTCATAGTTCTTCAAGTTTCTGCTCTAAACAATAGGAAGGACTGTCTTGATGTTTTGATTGAAAATTCTGCTTGGCTGTTGCTTTCCGTTTTAAATATTCTAAAATTGTAGAAGGAGGAGGAAATATATTTACACTTTATTGATATTACCTTATCATGTATTCTGTAATAGTGCAGCAAGCAGATATTCAGTATAATTGATATTCCGCTCTATAATATTCATTTGTGGAATTACTGAAAATGATGTATAAGCAAACTGTTATTTTATTCTCCTTTTTTTTCTAGTAAGCAAAAAACAAATTAAAAACAAAAACTTTATTTCCATAGTTTATCGGTAAATTTTCAATTAGTTTTTTGAAAATCCTAAATGTTGGATGTCGGTGTAAAAACATTGATTGCTCACAAGACCAAACGAAGATCCTCGGTTCAAATCCTGCGAAGTGCAGGAATCGTAGATACGCACAGCAACTGATGAGTCCTATACCAGTGAGAAGACTGAGGCAGGCTCGATAGATTGTGTTAAGCAAATTTACACTCTTAGTCAATTAAAAAGGAAAAAATTACATTGAATACTCTACTTGCACACCATCTTTGAGTACTGACTTCCAACGCTCCAGCCTTCTTTCATTCCTGCTGTTGCTTCCTTTACTTCCTGTCGGTACTCCATTTCCTTCTTGCTTTTGCTCCATTTACTTTCCGTTTTCCTCAAGTGACCGTGAGAGTTCTTCTTTCACGTCCCTTCTTATACTACTTATATTGTTCGTATAAGTAGCACACACCACACCAGGACAAAATACCGCCGTCTTTCTATGCTTCCAAGTTTCTAACATTGGTCTAACAACATTGGTCAATGCATGGATCTCGAAAATTTTCAATTTAGTTTTTTAAAATAATTTTCTTATTAGCATTTTCTTATAATTTCAATTAGATTTGATTGTATTGTTGTGTTTTGTTCTGTTTTTTCTCTGTGTGTGTGTGTGTGTGTGTGTTAGATTGAAAATGTTAATAATCCATATTGTTTAGAAGCACCATCACTTTCAGAGGTATATTTGGAATCAACGTTTATTAAAATTGCACCATGTCATAGAGAAGGAGGTGATCAGGTAAATTTTCATTGTTTGATTACCAATGTACAATGATTGATTGTATGATTAGAAAATTATTTATTTTTTGGCATACTCTTTGTCAATTTAAATAATAAATATTTGTATTGATTATAAATTGTATTGGATATATATTGTTGTACTTAAGAGAAGAATTTATTTCTCGGTCTCATCGTGTGGACTCTTAACTAACTGATAGATCTTGTGAGTTGACATGTTAATGTCTAACTTTAGTCAAGTCATAATCTTGTTCAACCTTTATCGATTGCCTACTGTTTCCTGCATAACATTAGTGGAGTTCAGCGCGTGTGCACATCAAAACTCCTAGGTTTATTTCCTTGTTGAGAGGATCATGTATGTGTACTACTGAGCAGTCGCGTACTGCTACGAAACGACTGTTCAGTTCGTGATATTAGCTGTGAAAACAATACTTTCTCCACGAATCTTCTTTATTAATAGTTATCATTCAATTTAACTGTTGATTTATACCTCAGGTTTTGTTAAATATTCATTTTTCTTGGTGTTGCATCCCTAACTGTTAACCAACCAGAATTACGTTTAATCTTGAAATCCTAAATTGTTTGCAATAGCGCAGATGCATCCATTCTTTGTATTCTCTCAAATTTGAATCGTTTAAAATTCCTCATGAACGTTTTTTCTGCTTTTACATTTCTTCCACTGAATCACACTTCTTGAATCTTCTTCATTTCCGCTAATATTTCTACTATCTCTGCCACTATGGTATTTGAACTGAAAATTCCATCTCTATATGCTAATGTGGTGGCATGGCAACTTGAACTGATCCATGTACGTGCTAAATTCTACGTTTTAACTGACTGATTGGCTATCTGACATCCTTATTGATTTACAAATTTTAAGTCTAGAATTTCGTAGACAACCTGCACAAACTTTGTCATGCTTTCAGCGAACAGTTTATATACGACATATACCAAACCACATGTCATGCAATTAAATAAGAAAATACATGTTTATCCTGTGAAATAAAAATGAGCTCAACTTGTGATAAGCAAAGCAAGCAATGCACGTACTCACACACACACACACACACGCACGCACACTCAAGTAAAGAACAATCAAGGTTATTAGTGAATAATTGACAAGGTTGAAAGACGTGTGAATCAAAACTTCAGAAGAATAGATTAATTAGTTTGTCCAAAGGCTGAGACAAACGTTAACAGTTATAAAATTAATGACATAGTTTTATGGCGAAAGATAAAATTGGAAGAGTAACTTTGATAGAACTAATCATTATTATTGAAATCTTGATTTATTAATCATCGTTAAACCATCATTAGAAACCTGGAAGCACTGGACGGCTGTTTCGTCCTAGTATGGGACTCATCGGCGGTACATTTTCATAACGCCCGCTTGCTAACGAACGCCTAACCTCTGGATCACTGAGCCAGCTGGCATCCAACAATGTAATTGTCTAACTCTTAAAAAAATCTAAGGTTTTGCGTAACTTCACCCAATGTGTTTGATTGTTACTGCCTACATTCTACAAGGTTGAACTCCACTGTTCACGTCTTCTCACTAGAACTCCTAGAATTTCTTCATACGGCTAGCCACTAATGTGTAAATAGCTCAATTTTTCATCATAGAGTTATGGAGATTGTTGTTTAATATTGAAATCATTTATGTTTATTTAAACTAAATTATTAAATTTTTCGAGAGAAAATTCTATCATTTTGAAAGTTTAGTTATATTTTAAAATATTAATCTTAAATACAATGTTGTTATGATTATGTTGCAATTAACTAATCATGCATAGATTTAAAAAAAAAGTATTTGCGTTAAATTTATTTTTTTTATAAAAATAATATTTTTTTCCGAATTATACTTTTTTACATATTTAAAAAATTTCCATTTTTAGTTTTGGTTTTTAACTATGGAAAAACAAATTCGACGTGATAATTATTGCTTTGATTCTGATTTTGGCAATTTTACAATTGGTTTACGTGATTGTGAATCTTCATGTAAAACTCAAGAGTTCACATATGAATTAGTAAGTTTTATTGAAATGTTTTTTTTATATATACTGACTTTATGGGACATAGAACATTATTATTCAATGGATAGCCAGTACTTCAAGAACTGCCATTCATTCAAATTAAATTATTCACTATAGAAAGTTATTCATCTTTCGACTTTTTCATTGATCAACATGAAATCCTCATGGTCGTATTAGAAAATTAGTTTGAAAAGTGTGTTGTTCAATAGGCATTGTACATTGGACATGAATTTCATTAGTTCCAATAAACTGAACTTTTTGATGATACACACATTATATGTTCATAGTTCAATATTTACAAATGATTCTTGATCAATGCTTACCAGTCATATATTTCTACATAATATCGGTATAATCTGAACGATTTATCCACATTTATATTTCACTCATTCTATGAGTTAAGTGTTTCAAACGGAAATAAAATTTATTTACCACCCCCTACATTCATCTGTATCTTTTTCTAATCAATCAAGAGTTTCATCTTAGCAGGCCATGAAATGCCAGTTATCAGACTCATAAAAGCAATGACTTTGGTCAGCATTGCTGTCTGCAATGTTTGTCTATAGTAGTGAAGTTATTATTTTTGTCAAAGAGATGTTTGTTGAAATTGGATTTCTGACAGAAGCAGAACTCTTAAGATAAGTTTATGAACATATAACTCGCCTCCACTTCATAATACGAAGCAGTCACTGAAATCCAAATGATTTATTTATTCAAAATGAATAATCACTGTCAATGAACAACAATTCAAGTGAAATAAAAATTTATTTCACAGTAAATTCGGTATTCATTGTTCTAGACAGCTGCTTGTTTGTGGTAACTGTACATCTTCTAGATTTGTTAGTCTGATAAAAGGTTTCCATACAGTAAGTATTTAGACGGTCAGTTAGTCATATGCATAAGTTGTTGTATAGCTTATAAATAAATTATCGTTTTATTTGTAATGAGAAAGTTACCTAGGCCGATTAAATTACTTCAATCTCCTATCAATCGGAAAATATCAGTTATTTTACGTTCCAGACTATTGAAAAAGTGTAAAATCTAATTTTCATTTCGGTATACCAGTGATGGAAAAATAACTTTTTGCACAAATTACACATTTATGTCATTGGCTTGAATTTAACGATGAGATGAAAAGTCAATGATCTATTAGTGAAAATATCAAAATTATGTTAAACAGATTATGAATATGATTCAAATAAACTAGAACGTTAAAGAACTCATATTCAATTACGCAGTCATATTTGATCTGCATACTATATGTGATACTCAGTGAATTAAGAAATGAGCATTTTGGACAAGTGATCACTTCACAATGTATCTTGGCTGCCCTACCAAGATCAATAATATGTACTGCTAACGTTACAAAATCACCACTTAATAATTAGAGGAAGAATTAGCCAAATTTCAGAAAAAAGACTTTATCAACAATTGGCTCTAATCATGTTCCTTGCTATCAAAGCTTAATTCGACTGAATTAATCAAAAGGTTTAATGGCTGTGTTCTCCTAAAAACGTTGCTTACTCAAAAATCATTTTCCTAAACAGAACAATCAGAGAATTAAGATGTAATCAGTTAGAGCTTTGGAGATTTGTGTTTTTTACACATTTGAAATCATCAATCAATAATTGTTAGACCAACATTAGAAACCTGGAAGCAGTGGAAGGCCGTTTCGTCCTTCTATGGGACTCATCAGCAGTCGTGGATGCGCACCGCTGATGAGTCCCATAGAAGGAAGAAACGGCCTCCCACTGCTTCCAGGTTTCTAATGTTGGTCTAAAAATGATTGATTGATGATTTCAAATTATGATGTTCATTTGCTACGTCAAGTAGCATACGTTTGTGTTGATCATTTTCATTTTATGATACCTATCTTATGGTCTAAGAGTTCAGCAATTTCTCATTCTTTTATGAATTTGAGAAAAGTTTATAACAGTAGTCCTGTTTAACAAACACTTAGACCCAAAATCCAAAGCTTTCTATACGTCTGGATCGATAACAGAATAAAAATTGTAATGTGTTTCTGGTCTTTAACAGTTTAGGATACAACTCAAGAAGTTGATATCTCTTAGTGTTTAGTTCAAACAGATCAACAGACCTGGTTAAGTTTTTCAACATTCATTAAAACGTTTATGTCTCTAGCGAGGTGGTGGTACACAAGCTTTGTCTACCTTTTTGTTGATTCAACAAAAGCTTTAACCTTTGAACATAAATATCTTTGAAATACTGTTCAACGATATCAACGTAATTGCGTGAATAGCGCTTATATTCGATTATTGAGATCTAGTAAAATAGAGAAACTCCGTTTAGAGCCCCTCTGGGGCTACTGCCAGTCCCAAGCCCGGATACGGTAGGAGTTCCGGGCATGAGGTTGACCATACTATCCCGCAGAAAACTAACTCACCAAAAAAAAACCAAAACCAGAAAAAATAATTCAAACTATTTAAAAATAGACCCCAGGAGTTAGAACTTCTTCTTCATTTAAAAGACTTAAGTAAGTAGTATAAAAAAATATATATATATGTATGATTCAATGTCGAATTATTGATTGATTTGATTGGAAGAAATATACATCGATAAATCAAAATACTATCTATTTCGTTATTATTTTTATTTTATTTCTACTGATTGTTTAGACAATTAATTTTCGTTTTTTTTGTAAACAGGATAACACTATTCGTCAACAAGGTAAATGTCTGCAAATCAGTGATGATGAATCAAAGCTACGACTTACTCCATGTAATGGATCAATAAGTCAACAATGGAAATTTAATCGGAAATCTAAGCTACCATCATCTACGACTAATAAATATTGATGAATTGATGAATTTTGATATACTTTATTATTATTTTTTGCTGTATCATTTGTTTATATCTTGTCGACCAAATAAAATGTATGCTACTACTTTCATCATTATTGCAGATTTTCCTTAAATGATCAATATTCAATTTTTGTTAATATAATGAAATATTATCTTTGATTAGTTGTAATAAAAGAGTCGTCGTAATTTTTCGAGAAGCACAAATGTATAAATAAGATGTAATACTTTTGTCTGGTGCTCATAGTTAATGATAAATAGTCTTTCATTGTACAACAATTCACTGATCAATTATTATCAAACAAAATAAAAGCTCTAGAATAATTTCTTTCTATCTTTATCTTATTCATTGATGCTATTGTTTTGTAGAAAAGAAAAAAATATTTCATGTTTTCACAGATGCTATTTCAATTTCCTTTACTTTTGTTGAAAAATAAAACAAATCGTTACGCGAAAATTTTTAATATGAAATATTTTGAAATGATAAGTTATTGTTGTGTAATCTATGTCTTCCATTTTATTATTTTTGATAAGTAAAAATTATTCTGGACATGTATATCATCTACCTATCTATCTGTTTTTATTTGATTACTATTAAAAAAATGAATGAATATAAGTATACAACACTTCAAGTTGAAACTGGAATTCATTTTAAACCAATGTAAAAATTTATTTTCTACGATTATTATTAATATGATCATATGTTTATAGGATTATTTTGTAATATTTTTACTTATTTTTTTTTTGTATTTAGTTTGTACTTATTTGATTTATTTTGTGTAATTAATTTTAATAAAATTATGTAATATTACTATTGAATTATATTTTCTGGAAAAGATGTAAGCTTTAATTGTCAATATATATATATATATACATATATATATACTAGTAGATCCGGTACGGGAATCTTTTAAACAACCATACGAAGGACCTTTTCACGTGACTTCTCATCACCAAAAGACCTTCAAGGTTGATCAACGTGGCCGCGTCAAGACAGTCAGCATCGATCACCTTAAGCCAGCACACCTCGATGACAGTACCCTGCCTGATAAGTTGGGACCCGAGGCTAGACCCATCAGACTCACTAGCAAGATCCACGCTAGATTTCTCAGAGACCTCATTCTCATGTCCCAGCCAAAAGCAGGCATCATCTGCACTATCTACGGATGAGACTTTAGTCTCAGGTCCAGGTCAGCACATCATGTCTCCATGGACTTCGGATGAGACTGCAGTCAGTCAGTCAGATGCAACGTAGAACTTCGTACGTAAGTACATCAGTTCATGTCGCCATACCACATCAGCACAGAGATGTAATTGTCAATTCAAATCCAATAGTAGAAGAGGTAGTAAAGGTACTGGAAGTAATCGGAGAGGTTAGGATTAGAAGATATTATTCAAGAAGTATGATTCAGTGGGAAAAGTTTACAAAGTTGAAGAATCCAGAAGATTAGGATTTGAGAGTACACAAAGAATAAATGCACCGGCGCCATTGCAAACGATTTTGAGCCATGTCATTCAAGGTCTCTAACCATCGATTATTATCATCTCGCGGACCCAAACCAGGTAGTCGACAATTACCGACATCGCTAAGTCCATTCGTCAATGACTTCATGGATTACTGCAATGTTTTGGTTTGGCCATTCCATTGACAGTTCGCCATAAGCTCTCACTCGACCAGTGGTGTTCGAGTAGAGAGCTTGTATGAGGTTAATGTACTTATTTGGTACACCTTTCAATGACAGAACCTCACGATCAACAGAGTCATATGCCGCTTTTAGGTCCAGGAAAACAACTATTGTAGGACGCCTAAGTGTGTGTATTTGTTCCAGGACCTGTCTTAGTGTAAAAATGTGGTCTATACAGCCACGTCTAGGTCTGAAACCAGCCTGGTTTTCTCTAGTCTGTTCTTCACGAGCTTTCGTTAAGCGCCGAAGTATTATTGAGGCCAATATTTTAGATACTATATTAGTTAGACTTATTCCCCTGTGATTGTCACAAGAAGACTTTTGCCCTTTCTTTTAGATTCGGGCAATCAGTGATTGAGATCAGAAGGATGGGATTGTGTCCAGTTCCCAGATTCTACCTAAGATCTCAGTCAACCTAGCTGCTAAAACTGAACCACCATCCTTAAATATCTCAGGGGTCAGTCCATCAGGACCTGCAGCTCCCCCTCGTTTCAGATTTCCTAACGCTTTCTCAACTTCATGAAGACTAAGGGGACTTACTTCTATTTGCCATTCAGGATGACTGGAGATCGTGGGTAATCGAAGAGAGGCTCGAGGCAAGTTGAACTGATCCCTAAAGTGTTCTGCCCATCGGTCCAGTCTCCTGGATTGAATATGGATAATAAGACCACGCACACATAGGTTCCTAATACCAGATTCCTTGATAAGTCGGAAAAGTTGTCTACTGTTGCCGATCGCCGCTGCCTTTTCCATCGCTTTTGCTTTCTCCACCCACCACAGTTCACGGTCGTTGCACAGGCTTTTTATCAGCCTCCGCCTAAGCTGAATTTGCTTTTCATCATGTTCAGAGCCAAGTGGGATGAGTTTTCGGGCATCCATCAGATCGGTGATTGCTACAGAGATCCACGGCTTCATTCTAGACTTATGGTGTACCTTACTAGCAGATATCACTGCTGTTTCCACAGCCTTTTTGATATCATTCCAACCTGCCTCCGGATGGGAATCACCTACATGGTCGCCTAACTGTCTTTCTAGTTGTTCCTGAAATATATTTTTCGCCTTATTATCATTAAGTAAAACCCTAAGGGGCTTTCTGACGGTGTCTTTCCTACGTCCAGCAAGCCTCAAACAAATTCGCGCTCGCACTAGGGCATGATCTGAATCTAAACATGTGCCCCAGAACTAGTGACAATCTTCTATCGAACCACTGCATCGGTGGCTGATGGCAATGTGATCTAGTTGAGTCCAACGTTGAGACGACTTTGGAGGTCGCCAGGTCAAGAGATGCTTCTCCTTATGCCTAAAGTTAGTGTTTGCTAAGAATAGGCGGTTGTCTGAGCATACTTGCAGCAGACGGTCACCATTGTCTGTTCCACCAAGGTGTCTCTCCTGCTCACTCAGTCTACCTACTTCAGCATTAAATTCACCAGCCATTATTACTATATCAGAGCGCCTAGCTTTTTGGAGGAGGTCCGAAAGCTTTCTGAAAAACTTATCTTTAACCTCGTCTGCACTGCAGTCAGTGGGGGCATAGGCAGATATGACGAAGAGGCAACGGCGAGTGTCCCTATCCTTCCGAGTCCTTACTGTCCCGTTTAGTCGGACAGCGCACAAACGACTATCTACAGAGATCCAGTCACGGAGAGATTGTTCTGCCCTACGACTCAATGCTATGCCTACGCCAGCAAGACCCCTGGAAGCAGCATCAGGGCTTCCAGATACACGAAGAGTGAATCGGGCTGCTTCTTCGTTTTGACAAGGTGGAATCAGATTATTAATTTTACTAGGATCCTGTATGCGCGTTCCCGAGACGCAGCATACATCGATAGCATGAGATTCTAATGTCCTAGCTAATTATGCCTATTGCCCTATTTGGCACAATGTCCGTACATTAAATGCTCCAACACGTAGTCTAGAACGGGGTTTCAGGAGACCAGAAATAACATTTCGTAAACTCGCTTTGTTTGCATTAGCTCTGCAGTGTGATAAAGGAATGTGAGAAGAGTTAGTCGTGGTTATAAGAGAGGTGTGTGTCGGTGTAGGACTGAGACTGCAGTCTCAGGTTCTCAGCCACGAGATACGAAAGAGACTATCATCTCACCTCTTACGTCATAAATATATATATAGATGACAAAATGTTAAGGTTGTGTGTTGATAAAATTAGATGTTTAGTTGAGTAACCTGTGTGTAAAGTAACTGCACCTGAAACCCCTCTAAGGCTACTGCCATTCCCAAGTCCGGATAAAGAAGGAGGCTTGGGGTGAGATTAGAGACCTCATCCCAAAAAATGTATCCCCATTAAAAGCGCCAACCAGAAAAAAATGATTCAAACCAACTTCACTTCCCTTGTGAATTATAAGGTCTTCTTTCAGAAGAACTATGACGTCTCATAATGAAGGCCGAGTTCCCTCGGATGTCACGAGTCCGATGTCGTTTCTCACAACCAGAGAAACCGTTTTTATAGTTACCGGGAATGTTCGAACGTTGTCCTACACCGAAAGATTATTTCAGTTTGTTGCCGAAACGAGAAGATGCAGATTCGGGTTCTTAGAATCGGTGTAACTCATTGGACGCAAGTTGGACCACTAAGACTAGCTTCAGAGAAACTGTTATTATAGTCTGATCATGAAGAGGAAAATGTTTCACATACATAAGGAGTTACACTGATGCTACCCAAACAAGCACAAAAGGCACTGATAGGATGGCAATCTCATGGACCCAGGATCATTAAAGCATCCATCAAAACAAAGAAACAGGACATTACAATGAACGTCATCCAGTGTTACGCACCTACCAACGACTACAATGACGACGTTAAATATCAATTCTACGAAAGGCTGCAGTCAATCGTCGATAAATGTTCACCAAAGGATTTGACGATTCTTATGGGAGACCTAAATGCCAAGGTTGGAATGGACAACACTGGATATGAAGACATCATGGGACGACATGGACTGGGAGAAAGGAACGAAAATGGTGAGAGGTCTGCAAACCAATGTGCCTTCGACAAAACGGACATCGGGGGCACAGTATTTTCACACATATGTATACACAAAGCTACATGGATTTCACCGGATCACACTACTCAGAACCACATTGACCATATCTGCATCATCATAAAGTTTAGAAGAACCATGGAGGATGTGAGAACCAAGAAAGGAGCTGATATAGCTTCAGATCACGACTTGCTGGTCGCCAAAATGAAACTGGAACTGAAGAAGCACTGGACAACGAGGCAGACGACATCACAGATGTTTAATACGGCGTTTTTAGGGATACTAGAAAGATCAACGAATCCAAGATAGCATTCAGCAAAATGTTCCAGACCTTGCATGATAGACTCAATGGAGAGGAAGCAACATTGGATGGAAATCTCACTGACACAGGATCATCAAAGTATCTTTCGAAACAAAGAAAGATTACATTACAATATCACGAGGTTCTGGGTCACAAGAAGCGCCATCAAAAGGGATGGATGTTTGTAAGTACTCTTGCGAAAATTGAAGAAAAGGCAGCAATCAATGTTAGCCGAACAAGAGCAGAGAAAGTTAAGGCATAAGCTGCATACACAGAAGACGACAGGGAAGTAAAGAAGTGCATCAGAGCCGACAGACGAAAATATGTGGAGGATCTAGCAACGACAGTGGAAAAACCTGCAAGAGACGGAAACGTGAGGCAATTGTACGAAACAACAAAGAGGTTGGCCGGAATCTATCGTAAACCAGAACGACCAGTGAAAAGCAAGGAAGGCAAAGTAATCAGCAACACTGAACAACAGCGAAACAGGTGGGTAGAGTACTTTCAGGAACTCTTGAATCGACCAGCTCCACTGAAAACACCCAACATCGAAGCAGCAACTACAGACCTCCTGATCGGTGTTGGTGCACCTACAATTGAAGAGGTCAGCATGGCCATCAGACAAATCAAGAGAGACAAATCAGCAAGATCAGACAACACTGCAGCAGAGGCAATGAAAGCAGATGTGGAAGCAACTGCGAAAATATTCCATATTCTCTTCAAGAAGATTCTGGATGAGGAACAAGTACCATCAGATTGGAAAGAAGGATACCTCATCATAATAACAAAGTAGGGTTATCTCAGCAAATGCGAGAACTACAAACGAATATCTCTTCTCTCAACTTCATGCAAAGCCTTCAGCAGGATATTGATACACAGAACGAAGAACTTCGTGGATTCCTAGCTGCGAGACCAACAGGCTGTATTTCGTAAGAATCGATCGTATACCGACCAAATTGGAACATTAGGGATCACTGTGGGGCAATCAGTTGAATGGAAACCACCATTATAGATCAACTTCATCGACTACGGGAAAGCATTCGATAGCTTGGACAGGACAACACTGTGGAGGCTTCTTTGATACTACGGCGTCTTCGAGAAGATAATCAACATCGTACGATGTTCTTATGATGGGCTAAATTGCAAACTAGTGCACTGAGGATAGCTGAAAGACGCGTTCGAGGTAAAGGCCGGTGTCATGCAGAGTTTCCGACTCTCACCTAAACTGTTTCTCCTGATGATCGACTGAGTTATGGAGACTAAAGCATCTGGGGGATAGCATGGTATCCTATGAGCAGCTAGGGTGCAGCTGGACGATCTGGACTTAGCAGATGGCCTGGCTCTTCTATCTCACACGCAACAAAAAGTGCAAGAGAAGACGACCAGTGTAGCAACAGCATCAGTAGAAGGTCCCAACAAACATAAAGGGAAAGCAAGCTTCTGCGATACTACACAACATGCGCCAACTAAATCCCTCTGAATGAAGATGCCTTCGATGGCATTAACACCTTTACATATTTTGGCAGCATCATCGACATTCAAAGTGATTCCGATACAAATGTGAGGGCGTGGATCGGCAAAGCAATTGAAAAATATCTGGAACTCCAAACAACTTTCAACCAAAGCCAAAATCAGGATTTTGAAAACAAATATCAAGACAGTTCTACTGTATGGAGCGGAAACTTGATGAACTACGAAAGCCATCATTCGGAAGATACAAGTATTCCTTAACTGTTGTGTAAGCAAAATACTTCCAATGTGTTGACCAGACATCATAAGCGACGACCTACTGTGGAAGAGAACTAACCGCATTCCAGTGGGGGAGGAAATCAGGAAGAAGTGGTGGAAGTGGATAGGACACACACTAGGAAAAGCACCAAATTGCGCCACAAGATAAGCCGTCACTTGGAACCCTCAAGGTAAAAGGAAAAAAAGAAGGCCGAAGAACATAATACATTGAGAAATAGAGAAAGATATGCGGCGAATGGACAAAAATTGGACAGAACTGGAAAGAAAAGGCTGAGGACAGAGTAGATTGGAGAAAATTGGTGGGCGGCCTATGCTCCGTTGGGGGTAACAGGCGTAAGCAAGTAAGTAAGTCATATGCATGAAGTGACTTTCAGGATTTCCATACTAGCTTAACTATGTTACTCGTTTGATTTGACGGAATTCATAATGTTAAGCAGTAGTGAGACATTTTCCATCATTGATAACAACGAAGACAGTATATAAGATTCATTCCAATTGACTTTTTATTTTCCCACTATCATACTCACGGTTAAATCCTCATGAAGTGCTCTCATTTATAAATTGGATAAATGTAAGTTCGATACTCGTTTAAAGCAAACTGTGTAAAAATATTTCAACAGTTGTTGGGGTTTTTCAGTGGTTTCTGAGTTCGGAAGAACAGTTGTAGAAGTCTAGATACATGCCTTGGCCAGGTGAGGTAAGAAACGGTTCTATAATTAATTAAATTTTTTAAATCATTACCTAAACAATATTACACTGCTCTTTAACACACTTTAACACAATGCTTTTCCAATTCAGGGAGAATGCTTCCGTATTAGTCCAAAATTGTACCCTCCCAGTACTGAACACAAGTTCACCGCCCAAGGTGTCAAATCCGATATGGCTGATGCCATAATTAGGTATCGATTTAAACAGCATAATACAGTTCACATAGGAACTCCAACAAAGGTACAAAAAGTAGAAACTAAAACAAAATACAAATATTAACATCACAAAATGGGACTAAACAGCGTACCAAAAATGTAGCACAGAAAGAGTCAGTAAGAACATTTTACAAATATGCACATGGAGGGATTTTCCCAAAACAAAGCCTTCAAATTTGATTCTACACAATTTTAAACATTTCGTGTAGAATCAACCTATTTTATTGAGGTATTGATTGGGATGTCTCGTTTGATTTTATATCACTGTGCTGCGCGACAATTGGCACGACGCATTATTGCTTTTGGTACCGTTCAATCGTGGAAGAAAAAATATGCGAGGTGAAATAATTGAGCCTATATGAAATGTATACGTTCATTCATCTTATTTATTACCACAGTTTCCTTCAACGTGCCTATGCACTGATGCGGAGAAGCGTCAGTTTATGATGTAAACAATCACAATCAGACTGATTTAATTCACAAAACTTTGTAGGCATCCTCATATTTGCGCCGTGTAAAACAAATTATGTAAGGGAACTAAGTTATATTGGCGATATATTATATATATTGACTTATATTGACTTGAGAAGTTCGCAAAATTAGATACAAGAAAACTGACATTGCAGGTAAATTGTGCATCATCTGCATAACGCTGACACATGCAGACCATGAATATGACATTAACTTATCACCTAACTCATAATTTCCTACATAACGTACTGATCAGTTTAAACATCAGCTATATTCTTCCCTATATACGTCGTGTGTAAGATGCTTTGTAAACTGATGAATTCTAAAGAAAACTTTTCTGAAGAACAATCAATGTTTTCCGATTTAGAATTTGTCAGGAGGGTATTACTCCCTAACTGTGTTGACTTTATGATGGATCCCATGTGCAAATCACCATAAAGCTTCAGATCTGCAAATTTACTTTCATTACAACCGCAGTTTACGGCAATAATCAGGTCAATGAACATTACCAACTGTTGCAAATAACTTCAAGTTTTCGTTACCTGAAAGAATTTGACTCCATGTGTTCTTTCCACCTGTTACTTGAGCCGTTTTAAATTTCGGAGGTTCTTCAGTTGTAGAAATTCTGACCTTGCTTTGCCAGTTCGTGCCTTTCATCTTTGCATCAGTCAGATTCCTGTGTTTATCGATGATGCTGATCAGATTTATGACAGAAATGTTAGAGACTGTTCCCTAACTGTCTTAGAATATACCCATATAAAAGTTATTGGGTCATAAATTCCAAGGGATGATAAGTAATTTATTATGTTAGAGATCACTTAAGAGTAAAAGTGAGAACATAAGCAACTCATGACAGTGTTCGTTTGTTGCTCAATGAAGTGGAGACATCGGTTAGCAATCATTTAAGGGATATACTACAGTTCATGCTGTCGTACTGATGACTTTATCCTAAGCAATAGCTGTACTTGAAGGAAGGCTGATACGTGTTATGTATGTATGTACACCCAACCAGGTCGTCTACACCTATCAACATGGCTCATTCCACTTGTCAGTGACTTCATGGATCTGTATCAGATAGCTGGGAAATTTAGAACCCACATGATTGGTTACCGTTTGGTGTTAACTGACCTTGCTAAGCCAATAGTTGGTAACAGACGGACGGATAGCAAGTTTTGTCTTGTAGCATGAATAAACTGACTAACAATGAACACTTGAATAATAACTTTCAAGAAATTATGATGGTGAGTCGAAAACTTACAAGGTGGAGAGAACGGCTTACTTACTTACTTACTTTCGCCTGTTACCCCAAATGGAGCATAGGCCGCCCACCAGTTTTCTCCAACCAACTCTGTCCTGGGCTTCTTCCTCCAGTTCTGTCCAATGTTTGTTCATTACTCTCATATCTTTCTCTATTTCACGGCGTAATGTATTCTTTGGCCTTCCTCTTTTCCTTTTGCCTTGAGGGTTCCATGTGAGGGCTTGTCTCGTGACGCAGTTAGGTGCTTTTCGTAGAGTGTGTCCTATCCACTTCCACCACTTCTTCCTGATTTCCTCTTCCACTGGAATCTGACTTGTTCTCTCCCACAGTTCGTTGTTGCTGATGGTGTCTGGCCATCGAATACGAAGTATTTTACGTGGACAGCTGTTAATAAACACTTGTATCCTCTGGATGATGGCTTTGGTAGTTCTCCATGTTTCCGCTCCATACAGTAGAACTGTCTTCACATTTGTATTGAAAATCCTGATTTTGGTGTTGATTGATATCTGTTTGGAGTTCCAGATATTTTTCAACTGTAGAAATGCAGCCCTTGCTTTGCCATTCATGCCTCACATCTGCATCCGATCCACCAGCGTCAAGCATGTGGAAGCGGTCTTAAAGCGAATTGACGAATTTGGGCTTCGAATTAATAAGGAAAAGTCGCAGATAGCGAAAAACAGCGTCATATTGTTGGGACATAAAGTGGGAAACGGAGAAATAAAGCCATTACCAGAGAAAATTCTTACCATAAAAAATATTGCAGTACCTAATTCGAAAAGGAAGTTGAGACAGTTCCTGGGAAGAGCGACGTTCTATAGTCGGTTTGTCAAGAATTTCAACGAAATAGCAGCGCCCTTATATAAGTTGCTGAGCAACACCAAGTTTACATGGACTGAGGCTGCCGAACAAACGTTCAACCGAATCAAAAACATGCTAGACGATCGTCAGATGACGCTGCGACTGCCTGAACCCGGTAAACTGTTTACAGTGGCCACAGATGCAAGTGATCATGGTATAGGTGCGGTATTGAGTCAGGCTGATAGAGTGGTGGAATACGCAAGTCGCGTTCTCACACCCGCCGAACAGAAGTATTCAACGATCGAGAAGGAATGCCTAGCAATCGTGTGGGCAGTAGAGAAATGGAGACCGTAACTTTTAGGTAGACGATTTCACATCGAGACGGATCATAAGCCCCTACAATGGTTGAAAACAGCAAAAGACCCTCGGGGGAAGTTGGCTCGATGGATGCTACGTCTGCAGGAGTATGATTTCAGCATCGGGCATGTGCCAGGGGAGGAAAATGTAATGGCAGATTATTTGTCAAGACCGGACACCGAAGCCGAACTTCCAGAGATAGCGTGTGCAGTTAACGGCCTAGAGGGAGACCCCCTAGAACTCGTCCGACATCAGAAAGCCGACCCTAACCTTCGGGAGGTAATCAGAGTGATAAAAGAGGGAGAAGATGTTGACAAGAGTAGAACAGATAAAGAATTAACAGTGTTGCTGAGGCAGAAGGAGAGACTGAGAGTGAACGGATACGGAGCCTTGACCTGGCGGGATGATGACGAGAATTGGGTAGCAATAATCCCAAAAGATCTGCGCCAGGAGATGATTCGTGAATGTCACCGGGTAGCGCACACAGGTATTGCACGGACAACTGATTTGCTGCGACAAAGTGCGTACTGGCCAGGTATGAGAGACGATGTTGCACGATATGTATTAGCGTGCCAGCGATGTCAACTAATGAAAGGAGATCGATGCATACGACCGCCATTGCAGTCAATTCCAGTAACAGCAGTTGGTGATTTGTGGTCAGTAGATGTTATGGGACCGTTCCCGCAGACGACAAGTGGTAACCAGTACCTGCTGGTGATGACTGAGCATGCCACACGATGGGTAAATGCCGTGCCGATGGCGGACCAATGACGGTGACGGAAGCGGTAATGCGGCACATTGTGGCGGACCATGGGATACCAAAGATAATATTAACCGATCAAGGTCCCTGTTTCGAGAGTGATGAGTTCAAGTCCCGTCTAAAGCAGTTAGGTATCAAGAGAGTACGAACAACGCCGTATCATCCACAGACGAATGGGTTAACGGAAAGGAATAACCGAACGCTAAAGGAATGGCTAGCATCTAAAGGGGGTGACTGGGAGAAAGAATTACCATTAATCTTGCTGGCACATCGTGCCTCGGCACAGGGAACAATCAGGAAGTCACCGTTCCAGCTGATGTACAGCAGACGGCCGAGACTACCAACGCATGATAAAACCTGGCCGCAACAACAGAGATGGAATACAACAAGATTGAGAACAGAGCGAAGACAAGCAATCAGGAATGTGAGAGAGAAACAAACATCAGACATGGAAAAGTCAGAACAGGAGAGAAAGAACTGGAGATTGTTTGAAGTGGGAGATCAGGTGAAGTGTAGAGAACGGAAATATACCACAGGAAGAGGGCCAGGGTCAGGTAAGCTGATCCCGAAGTGGGAGGGACCGTACGTAGTAACCGAGAGGCGCGGCGCAGTGTATACGATCCAGAAAGGAAACAAACAGAAACGCGTGAATGCCAGTGAACTCCAAAGGTGGTTATCAGTGCGCCAAGAGGGCGAGCCACAAACACTGATAAAGAAGACGGCTGAACGGAGATCAGAAAGACTGCGACGACAGCTTATTAAAAGGGGGGACGAGTGTGGTGCTGTGGTGCGAACTACTTATAAGTAGTATATAACGTGAGTGTCAACGTAAAGTCTGGTAGCATAATATGGTTGGAAGATCAAGAAAGGAAGAGTCAGAAAACAATGGAATTTGTATGGAACGCATGAATAGTGACAATGGATTGATGTTTGGCAACAGGAACAGTCCAGTTCCAGTTCAGTTCATTTGGAAACATCTAAACATTCAATATATATTGCTTTAATGTAAAGTCGTTTTGCTTTTGGCAAACAGTCATAGCAGATACAAGTTCATTATGCTGGTCGTTGAATGATTTCTTTTACTTACTTACTTACTTACTTACTTACTTAGTTACGCCTGTTACCCACAATGGAGCATAGGCCGCCCACCAATTTTCTCCAACCAACTCTGTTCTGGGCTTCTCTCTCCAGTTCTGTCCAATGTTTGTTCATTCCTCTCATATCTTTCTCTATTTCTCTGTGTAATGTATTCTTTGGCCTTCCTCTTTTCCTTTTGCCTTGAGGTTTCCATGTGAGGGCTTGTCTCGTGACGCAGTTAGGTGCTTTTCGTAGTGTGTGTCCTATCCACTTCCACCACTTCTTCCTGATTTCCTCATCCACTGGAATCTGGTTTGTTCTCTCCCACAGTTCGTTGTTGCTGATGGTGTCTGGCCAACGAATACGAAGTATTTTGCGTAGACAGCTGTTAATAAACACTTGTATCTTGTGGATGATGGCTTTGGTAGTTCTCCATGTTTCCGCTCCATACAATAAAACTGTCTTCACATTTGTATTGAAAATCCTTATTTTGGTTTTGGTTGAAAGTTGTTTGGATTTCCAGATATTTTTCAACTGTAGAAATGCAGTCCTTGCTTTGCCAATCCGCACCCTCACATCTGCATCGGATCCACCTTGATTGTCGATGATGCTGCCCAGATATGTAAAGGTGTTGACGTCCTCCAAGGCATCTCCATCAAGAGTGATTTGATTGGTGCATGTTGTGTTGCATCGGAGAATTTTGCTTTTTCCTTTATGTATGTTGAGACCTACTGCTGCAGAGGCTGCTGCTACACTCGTCGTCTTCTCTTGCATTTGTTGTTGAGTGTGCGATAGAAGAGCCAAGTCATCTGCGAAGTCCAGATCGTCCAGCTGCGTCCTGACTGTCCAGTTGATACCGTGCTTCCCTCCAGATGTTGACGTTTTCATAATCCAGTCGATCATCAGGAGAAAGAGAAAGGGTGAGAGTAAGCAACCTTGCCTGACACCGGTCTTCATTTCGAAAAAGTCTGTTAGCTGTCCTTCGTGTACGATTTTGCAGTTGAATCCATCATAAGAATTCCGTATGATGTTGACTATCTTCTTAGGAACACCGTAGTGTCGAAGAAGACTCCACAGTGTTTTCCTATCGATGCTATCGAATGCTTTCTCATAGTCGATGAAGTTGATTCACAGTGGTTAGTTCCATTCTATTGATTGTTCCACAATGATCCGTAATGTAGCAATTTGGTCAGTACACGATCGATCCTTACGAAATCCGGCCTGTTGATTTCGAAGTTGGGCGTCTACGAAGTCCTTCATTCTGTTTAACAATACTCTGTTGAAGACTTTGCCTGGTATTGAAAGAAGAGTGATGCCTGTGTAGTTCTCACACTTGCTCAGGTCGCCTTTCTTTGGTATTTTGATGAGGTATCCTTCTTTCCAACAGAGATCCATTCCTTGTGATGGTACTTCTTTTGACCCAGAACTTCGTCACATGTTGAAGTGATTGCTTCCTTAATCCCTTTCCAATTGTTCTCCAATTTTGTGTCCTCTCCATTGTGTAGATCCTGAAAGGCCTGGAACCTATTGGTGAGGGCTATCCTGAATTCTTTGAGCTTTACAGTATCCCGAAGAAAGGCCGTATTAAACTTGTGTGATGTTGTCTGTCCCGTTGTCCAGTGCTTCTTTAGTTTCAGTTTCATTCTGGCGATCAGCAAATGGTGATCTGAGGCTATATCAGCTCCTCTCCTGGTTCTCACATCCTCCATAGTCCTTCTGAACGTTTTGTTGATACAGATATGATCAATTTGATTTCTAGTAGTGTGGTCAGGGTGAAATCCATGTGGCTATGTGTATGCGTTTGTGAGGGAATATTGTGCCACTGATGACCAGTTTGTTGAAGGCACATAGGTTTGCAAATCTCTCACCGTTTTCGTTCCTTTCTCCCAGTCCATGTCGTCCCATGATGTCTTCATATCCAGTGTTGTCCATTCCAACCTTGGCATTCAGGTCTCCCATAAGAATCGTCAAATCCTTTGGTGAACATTTCTCGACGATTGACTGCAGCCTTTCGTAGAATTGATCTTTATCATCGTCATTGTAGTCGTTGGTAGGTGCATAACATTGGATGACGTTCATTGTAATGTCCGCTTTCTTTGTTTTGAAAGATGCTTTGATGATCCTGGGTCCATGAGATTCCCATCTTATTAGCGTCTTTTGTGCATGTTTGGACAGCATCAGTGCAACTCCTTGTGTGTGTGTGAAGCATTTTTCTCTTCATGACCAGAGTATAACAGCAGTTCCCTTGAAGCTAGTCTCAGTTGTCTTACTTGTGTCCAATGTGTTTCACTGATTCCAAGCAAATCGAGGTTGTATCTTTTCATTTCTGCAGCAACTTGAAATAGTCTTCCAGTCTGCCACAATGTACGAACGTTCCATGTACCTAAAAAAATGGTTGCTCTGGTTGTCAGAAGAGGCATCAGCCCCGTGACTTCCGAGGGAACTCGGCTCTCATCACGAGACGTCATAATTCTTCCTCCAACTCCCAGGGTAGAGTTAAAATGGTTTAAATTATTTTTTCTGGTTAGCGTTTTTTTGGCAAGTTAGTTTTTGACGGAATGGGGTCGCCAACCCCATGTCCAACCCTCGGCATTTACCCGGGCTTGGGACCGACAGTAGTCCCGAAGGTTCTACTGGCGGAGTTATGATTTCTTTTACAAAATGTTGAATTCTTCTTTTTCTTTTCTTCAGACAAACAATCGTTTGAAGAAATTCAAATCAAAATATTCAAATGCTGAAGAAAATTTTCAAACCATACAATTGATCGATGATCAATTATATGAGCAAGCGAATTTGACAAAATCCGAATTGATTGATTTGTTAAAACAAATTGATTATTCAACTAGTAATAATAATAATGTCACTGATGCTTGTTCTTTAACTGATGAACAATTGAATAAACTATTAGATAGGTAATTTCTATTTGATTTGATAGTTTTATTGGACATTTTGTAATAAGTTTAAGTTTTATGTGTAGTTCCAGGATTACATCTTACCTATTATATCATGTAAATTGAATATTTAAATCACTATTATAGATCCAAACAACTCTATACTGTTAAATACTTGATTACATTAAGAACTTCTATTATTGGCAGTTCATTGATTGTTATCTTTACTGTTTGAAATAATTGTTCTCATTTCTATGATCAAAATATGCTAAACATCAGATGCGTGGCCGTAGATGTATGTTATTTATAAAGTTCTAGCACTGTAATCTGTTTACAAACATAAGAGTTCTATTCGAATGAACTGAATACTGTTTAAGAATGAAATGATGTTGATAGTATGCTGATAGTGTCCAAAAAAGTGATTCATATATATGTATATTACCATTTTGATCTGTTAATCAATCACTTAGAAATTCCTGGTTCTCATATTTCAGGTCATTTTGTTACTACACAGTTGATATTGAACCAAGTATTTGTTTTTTTGTCCCAAGTTTAAGTGTATTTAACATTCTATTTTCATTATTGAATAATAATAATAATTGTTTGTGGAGAGGGACAATTTTTATCTATTGATTCCTATACAGTTTAATGTGATAGTGAATACTAGGTAAAGTAATATTTATTCATTGGTCATTTGTATTTTCAAAATCAATCCATTTGGTGTACAAGTATGAATAACAGAGCAACTGATTGATTTTCCACTCTCTGGTTTGTGACAAATCAGTTATGTTCATCTATGACCACATTATATAGTAAACTGAGAAATTGTAGCTCTTAAAGTGAGCATTTAATCAGTGCATCTATCATAATTCAAGAGGTAATCCGAACTTCAATCAAATTTTGGTTTAGCCTGACGATCGATCACCTCATAACTGATTCACTCCTAATATGAGATTATTGCCTACAAATTAGGCTTATTTCTACAAACGTGTTGAAGCGAAAAGTGCAAAGGTTGACTGGTTTTTCTAACTACAACCGTAGCTCATATTTTCAATCACCAATCGTTGTATTTGATAGGTTTTGCAACTTTACTCGCTGTACGATAATGAATATACTGTTTCAACTAATTACATAACTGTATAGTTTACTGAGACTTTTTGGAGTGTGAGCAAACTTTTATTAAAAATCGCATGGAACATGTTATTCTAGCTGTAAAAGATACTTCTATAGGCAAGAATACTCATGAACAATGAACTTGGCGTTTTTGACTGTTATTATGTTTGTATGCATGATTTTAAATGATGGTGAATGTAACTCACATGCTGGCATTTGAGTTGTGTGCATCAGAGTGTCATCTGAAAGTTGTCACCAGAGAGGAGTATCTAGGACTGAAATCCGAGCCACTGTGAGACTACATGGAATGAATGTAGAGAAGATTGATGTTAGAGAAGACAGTCATAAGCCTGCTTCTATTGCAAATGGATGTTCGAAGATGTGTGTACATATTTTGTCTTCTCTAAGTATATGTATTTCATCTAGTTCCGACGTCTTTACTCGATTACAATATAAAATATTTGTTCTCCTTCATAATGAATAAAAGCTTAGAGATTTCATTATTGAATCGAAATCGAATTACGATTTGTTTGATTGAGAATTTCATCAACTCACTCAGTTCTTGAGTGTAGCTGTATCTATATTTGGATCTCAGCACACTGGTTATCAATTAGTCACTGTAATACTCAAGTGTTCTCTAGTTTGCGTACTGTTGTGTCAAGACCATAGGGCTTGCCTCTGAACCTTTGAACAATTTAATCAATCCAATTTTACCGAGTAATTATTCACTTGCATTTTGACTTTGTCAATTATTCGAGTGTGTGTGTGTCCGCCTATTTCGCATATCGCATGTCTGGCCTATTTCTGTCTGACTGAAAATATGAAGTCATGCTTCGTCTTACTGAGTTGGCTCCCTCGCCTTCTCCGCTTTACTCACCGTCAACTTTTCATTTTCATGTCTGCCTGTATGAAAGATTGCATGAAATAAATTCATCCGTAAAACCGTGTTTGGCTTCTTACTACCACCGTCAGCCAAACAGGATTTACCAAAGAATAATATACGGAAATTGAAGGGGAAATTGATTTTATCACATACTCGACTGTCCACCCGAAATGGAATCGAATCGCGGATCACTCTAAGTGATGAGTCTTACTTGGAATCTATCTCGGCCACAGTCTACAAGTTTTTAGCTAAGTGTGGCTATCCTAGTTGTCCATCTGTAATCAACCTAAACATAAACAGGCGATGTTGATTCAGTCAGACTAGACAGCTTAATCAAATCATCAAGTATTTTGTTTCTTTAAATTTCTGTAGAATGATTATTTTTTTTGTAAAAAAGTTATATCGGAAACTAGATCATATTTCATTGTGTAACATTGTGTAAACCGGTGAGTACACACTCTATTTTCATTTTGAACTTTGGACACTTTGTTTGTCATTAGATTATTTGATCAGTGTAGAATTTAACTGCGTAATGTGGTCACGTGACAAAAATAAGTTTATTTTAAACTAGTCATTATGATTTCTCATTGTAATTTGTTTTTATTTTTCACATAGATTTTATTCTATTCACGAATGTTAGTTTTTTTGCTTCAAACATTTGTCATATGACTTTGACATTGATATCAATTTACGTGTGTTGTTCACATGATAGAATGATAGACAAATTTTCAAACACACTGGCCTCTCCATACATTGTGCTCTCTTTTAACTCAATAAATAAAAATTAATCTCATTCAGTGTATTTTATCCTATTTATTGTTGTCCTATCAAATTGTTTATTTCTAAATGCCTAGATCTGATCTTATTGAAGCTTGGACTAAACATACCAATAATGAACAACACATTGCGAATGCTACTGATCAACAACAAACCGATTGTGACAATTCTCGGCATAACGAATCTTTCAATGATCAGTTGATTGAGTCAAACAAAATTGGAACAGGTCAAATTGTAAACCAAACAAATGATCAAACCCTAGACAACCTGTGAATATTATACAAGAAGGATAGACAAGGATTGACTTATTGTGAAAATGATTCTTAATTTCTATTGCTGTTTGTTTGTTTACAATTTTGTTTTCAATGTTAAAAAACTAATTTCAAGGCTTTTTATAAACCGATTCTTGTGTGATTAAACGTTATGATGTTTTTTGTTCTTACCAAAAAAATTGATTTTCTCTCAAATTTAGTAACCAATATAAATACTACTTTTTCAGTTACCGATCTTACTTTCAATTGTAGGTGACTATGACTTGAATGTTGTTCAACATTCAACATAATAATAATCGAATGAGTTTTGTTTCAAAGAAACATAAGTTTAAAAACACCCAGTAAAATAGCAAATGAAAAGAGTAGTTCAACAAATTTAATCTTTCTCAGCAATTTCATCCACGACATTGTACGATTGCATAAAAACAGATATTTTACACAGTGTTTTCGTTGAATTAACAATAATTGTTTAGTGCATACACAGTTTAAAGTGTTATTCTTATAAACGTTTTTTTTTAAATAAAAATTAATTAAGTATAAGAGTTACATGTATGAGCAGCTTTGGTTTAGCCAATCATAATCAAGGTTACGCTCCGCGCGAAAATCAAAGTTTGTCTTTCGTGTTATAATCGAGGATGAAAAAAAATTGTTACTATTTGGTCTTTAGAATGCTTGAATAAAAAGAGAAAATTGCATGTAAATTTAGCTTTTATCTGTCAATACTTGAAATTCGACTTGTGAAATGGTAAATACTCAGGTGTAAGCTACCGTCCGATTGTTGTTTATTTTTCGTTTTCAATTAATTCATTCCTAATTAGTTGATGTTTTTTTGAATAACTTACAGGTCGCTTAGATTTGTCAGTATATTATACCATCATGTTATTTACATTTGACAAAACAGTTCAATGAATATAAAAAAGTTGTTTTTTTTTAAACATGATACATTGTGTTTGCAGATGAATTGAAGTTAAAATTAGTGTGAGAGAAAAAAATGTCAATTGATCGTTATTCTATTCTACGTGTTTTAAGGAATAATTTAAGTTCATTCGGATATTTATTAGATGATCATTAGCACGCATAGACTAAAATCACGCCTTGACTTGATATTCCTTATCTTTTTCATTTCAGTATAGTTTTGTTTACAATGAAAATAATAAATATATATATATTCATCTTAATAATCATAATACTATTGATTACAAAGATATAGAGGATAGTGTTTTTCATTTGAAATCAGGGAACTGATCATTTTTAGATAACCGTTCGAAACGTCGACACACTTGACGGCCACTTCGTCCAAGTATGTGACTCATCAACAACAGCACACATCTATGACCCCTGCTCGCAGTAATCGAACTCAGACATTCGGTCTGGCTTATGAAGGCTTGATTTCTGGACCACTGATCTGGTATCCAATATTTCACCCTAATAATCGTAACAACCATAAATTGAGACCGAAAATGAATTTCTCATGTTTATATTGAATTCTATGTTAGTTCCATGTAATTTTACAGCTGTCTTATTTCTAAATGAAGGCTATTGTGAATAATCGTAGTAATTTTCAGTCCACTTTCACATCCTAATCAATTGAAAAGATATTCTCTCTGTGGGAGGGTAAATTAATGTCAAAACTATTAACATTTGTTTTTCATTTAGTGAGTACATGTTGCTAGGAACAACTCAGTTTTATTGTTTTTATATTTACTACAGTTATTTAGGTTTTCATTCATATCTTCCTCTTAAAAACACAGTAATGTTTCATTTGATATGAAGCACTTTCAAAATAAGTTATTCTTCTCAAATTTACATCTTTAAATTATCATCTGAGACTTTTATAAAATTTCAGTCTTAAATAATACACTATATTGTAGTTACATCCCTAATCACTTTTATATCACAAAAATCGTTGGTTACTCAAATTTTAATAAGTAGTTACAATATGAATCGTAAACACGTGCACATCATCCGTTCACTGAATTGAGAAATGATGTAGTTACACGTTGTTAGTCAATTTTTTAGGATCGTACGATACATCTTGATTTTAGTTTTATTATATTCCCATGATTTATCTGAGTTGATGAGACTAATTACTGAAATTATCACCATTCATATCTAAATGTTTCCATTTTTATCTTGAGAAAATAAGTTCTTTCTAAACAAAGTTTTATTAACTTTTAAAGTTCATTAAGCTGTAAGAGGCTACGTGAACACTAGTTTAATTTTTCACATTTCAATTTCATTTTGATTTTGTGCTACATTATATTTTTTGAACCTAGTTATAAATGTTTAACGTGATCTACACAATTCACGTATTACAACTATTCAGATATTATCGAGAGATATCTGATACTTCTTTGTACTCATTAAACAAAATAAACTTATTCTTTCTCTTTATCGAATCAAGTAAATAAAATTAAACAGACAGGCAAGATATCGATAGATGTTGATCTACAACCGTACACTTTTTCTATTTATTATCCCTTTAATTTTATATTATATCTCCGCCAGTATATCCTTCGAATCAACTGCCGGTCCCAAGCCCGGTTAAAGGAAGATGGTTTGACATGCGGTTGGCGACCCCATTCCGTCGAAAACTAACTTGCCAGGAAAACACTAACCAGACAGAATAATCCAAACTACTTTTTCTCTGTCCTCGGAGTTGGAAGAAGATATGACGTCGTGTGATGAAAGCCGAGTTCCCTCGGAAGTCACGGGGCTGATGCCTCTTCTGACAACCAGAGCAACCATTCTTTTAGGTACATGGAACGTTCGTACATTGTGGCAGACTGGAAGACTATTTCAAGTTGCTGCAGAAATGAAAAGATACAACCTCGATTTGCTTGGAATCAGTGAAACACATTGGACACAAGTAAGACAACTGAGACTAGCTTCAAGGGAACTGCTGTTATACTCTGGTCATGAAGAGAAAAATGCTTCACACACACACAAGGAGTTGCACTGATGCTGTCCAAACATGCACAAAAGACGCTAATAAGATGGGAATCTCATGGACCCAGGATCATCAAAGCATCTTTCAAAACAAAGAAAGCGGACATTACAATGAACGTCATCCAATGTTATGCACCTACCAACGACTACAATGACGATGATAAAGATCAATTCTACGAAAGGCTGCAGTCAATCGTCGAGAAATGTTCACCAAAGGATTTGACGATTCTTATGGGAGACCTGAATGCCAAGGTTGGAATGGACAACACTGGATATGAAGACATCATGGGACGACATGGACTGGGAGAAAGGAACGAAAACGGTGAGAGATTTGCAAACCTATGTGCCTTCAACAAACTGGTCATCAGTGGCACAATATTCCCTCACAAACGCATACACATAGCCACATGGATTTCACCCTGACCACACTACTAGAAATCAAATTGATCATATCTGTATCAACAAAACGTTCAGAAGGACTATGGAGGATGTGAGAACCAGGAGAGGAGCTGATATAGCCTCAGATCACCATTTGCTGATCGCCAGAATGAAACTGAAACTAAAGAAGCACTGGACAACGGGACAGACAACATCACACAAGTTTAATACGGCCTTTCTTCGGGATACTGTAAAGCTCAAAGAATTCAGGATAGCCCTCACCAATAGGTTCCAGGCCTTTCAGGATCTACACAATGGAGAGGACGCAACATTGGAGAACAATTGGAAAGGGATTAAGGAGGCAATCACTTCAACATGTGACGAAGTTCTGGGTCAAAAGAAGTACCATCATAAGGAATGGATCTCTGTTGATACTCTTGCAAACATTGAAGAAAGGAGGAACAAGAAGGCAGCAATCAATGTCAGCCAAAAAAGAGCAGAGAAAGTTACCGCACAAGCTGAATACACAGAAGCAATCAGGGAAGTGAAGAAGAGCATCAGAGCTGACAAACGAAAATATGTGGAAGATCTAGCAATCATGGCGGAAAGCTGCAAGAGAAGGAAACATGAGACAGTTGTCAGTAACTACAAAGAAGCTGGCCGGAAACCATCGAAAACGAGAACGACCAGTGAAAAGCAAGGAAGGCAAAGTAATCAGCAACACTGACGAACAGCGAAATAGGTGAGTAGAGCACTTTAAGGTACTACTGAATCGACCAGCTCCACTGAACCCACCCAACATCGACGCAGCATCCACGGACCTTCCAGTTAATATTGGCGCACCTACAATTGAGGAGATCAGTATGGCCATCAGACAAATCAAGAACGGCAAAGCAGCAGGACCAGACAACATTCCAGCAGAGGCAATGAAAGCAGATGTAGAAGCAACCGCGAAAATATTTGACATCCTCCTCAAGAAGATTTGGGATGAGGAACAAGTACCATCAGATTGGAAAGAAGGATACCTGATCAAAATACCAAAGAAAGGCGATCTCAGCAAGTGTGAGGACTACACAGGCATCACTCTGCTTTCAGTACCAGGCAAATTTTTCAACAGAGTATTGTTAAACAGAATGAAGGACTTCGTAGACGCCCAACTTCGAGATCAACAGGCCGGATTTCGTAAGGATCGATCGTGTACTGACCAAATTGCTACATTACGGATCATTGTGGAACAATCAATAGAATGGAACTAACCACTGTGAATCAACTTCATCGACTATGAGAAAGCATTTGATAGCGTGGACAGGAAAACACTGTGGAGTCTTCTTCGACACTACGGTGTGCCTGAGAAAATAGTTAACATCATACGGAATTCTTATGATGGATTCAACTGCAAAATCGTACACGAAGGACAGCTAACCGACTCTTTCGAGGTGAAGACCAGTGTCAGGCTAGGTTGCTTACTGTCACCCCTTCTCTTTCTCCTTATGATCGATTGTTGATGAAGACGTCAACATCTGGAGAGAAGCACGGTATCCAGTGGACAGTTAAGACGCAGCTGGACGATCTGGACTTGGCAGATGACCTGGCTCTTCTATCTCACACGCAACAACAAATGCAAGAGAAGACGACGAGTGTAGCAGGAGGCTCTGCAGCAGTAGGTCTCAACATACATAAAGGAAAAAGCAAAATTCTCCGACGCAACATTAATGATCACAACATGCACCAACCAAACCACTCTTGATGGAGATGCCTTGGAGAACGATAACACCTTTACATATCTTGGCAGCATCATCGATGAGAAAGGTGGATCCGAATTGTATAAGAGGGCAC